TTCGAACCTATAAATTGCTGTTGAGGCATTGCCCCTTATGGCCTTTTTGTCTTTTTCGTGCCTTATGAGATATTTTGCTGTGGAAGCATTGTCCTTTATGTTCGGTTTGTCCCTTATGAGGTGTTTTGCGGTTGTGATATTGGTACACTGACATTTCCATTGGTACACTGACATTCATCAGTTCGCTACGAACTGATGAGTTTTTTCTGGTCCGAACATAAAGGACAATGCTTCCACAGCAAAATATTTGATGAAAATGATTCTGGGGATTATGACATTCCTCACATATCTTGTTTCTGTTCCACAGACTCCTCACCTGTATATTGATAACCAATCAATGTAAATAATTCACCAGATTTTGATACATTCTCACTTAATCCAAATGACGGTATATCTGTAATATCAGCTGGACACTTTGCAACGTAAATTGATATGTCCAATACAGGATGTGGTACCAGTTGTTGAATCCTCCAAACTATGATGGATACTGACGAATAATTTTTTATTTTTATATAATACATAAAACCATGTGGATGTTATGATATTCCACTGATTAGTTTTACCTTTAGTGGCAACATATAACACTCCTAGAAAGAGAAAACTAAATAAAACTAGAATGCAATTGTGTTACGCACAAGTTGCGATGTCGATAGACAATGTGGACACTTCCAACTATCGAACATTACGGTACATGTCTAAGCAGTAACTTTTCCCAGTATCAATCAGCAAGAAAACCAGCACACTTTTGAGGCTATGTGCTTAGATGGCATAACACCAGAGCAGAGACCGTCGCAGGACAGGGTGATATATTTTTGTTGCCCTTTTGCAGGGCAGGGCAACAAAAAATTCCTTGATTTGCTCTGCGAGAGATTGATTCTTGAGATTTTCAAGCTTCTTTTTAAGTAAAATTTTGAGATCTCTCGTATATGTGGAAATAAAAATAACTGCCAACTTTTCTAAAATTGATAATTAATAAAAAAAAAAGATTCTGTTACGCACAAGAAACAGATCCAGTATTTGTGATGAGTTTCTTGAAGATAAAGTCTTCTAGGTTAAGGAAAAAAACTTGCAAATTTGAGATCTTTTGCATTGCAAGGCGTTCTGCCCAGCTAGACAGAGCAGGGTAGGGCCAAAAAAATGTTATGAGTAATTTTTTGACAGGGCAGGGCGAAAAACATTTCCCTGCGACGGTCTCTGTACCAGAGCAAATCCCCTAGACAAAATTTTCTTTTGATAAAACTGATAAGATTCTTATCGGAATCTTATCAGTTTCTTATATAAGATTGTTTAAGATTTCCCATCGACAGTCATAAGTGTCTTATAAGAATCTTATAAGATTTTTAGAGGTTTTTAGAGGTTCGTAAGAAGTTCAGAAGAAGTACCGAAAATTCTTATGTTATTCTTATTTACTAGAAGGCAGCTAATGACTTGATTTTGCTAATTTCGGTTATTATTAAGTTGCTTCTATTGGCTGAAAAACTTCATAAGAATTTTTTGTACTTCTTATGAATTTCTTATAAGATTCTTATAAGACATTTACGACTGTCGGTGGGAAATTTTAAACAATCTTATATAAGAAACAGATAAGATTCCGATAAGAATCTCGTAAGATATTAGTAAGAGGCTTAGACGTTTCTGGTAAGATTCTTATATAAGAATCGATGTCTAGGATAAACTCTGACGATCTTTTTATCCAGCATTCAAGACTGAAAAATATTCATATATGTAGTAGAAATAATTGTTTTTCTTACCTGTACCGTAACTCGATATCTGAAGTTTTCTTTTCATATTATTTTGTTCAATTGAATCATCATCTCAGATCCACGATTACGACTGTCGTAAACGGTCGTATCCGTCACATTACGCTATCATAATGTGACGTGTACTATAGTATTTCGTCGTATTTTGACGTAAATCCGATCAACGTATTACGTCAACCGTTACGACCGTCGTATTTCAACGTAAACGATGTCGTTTACGATGGACGTAATATGTCGGCCGGATCTGCGTCAAAATACGACGAAATACTATAATATACTGTCATGAATCTTTGACCCGGGATACTGTGTATCCCATAATTCATTAATCGACCGTCTATTAGGAAATGACAATTTATTATTATTATATAGAAATAAATAATTCGGTAAATATTCGCCAGCTTGATTAATAATGCTAGTATCATTACGGTTTGATGTTTCCAGGGGCCTGTTTCCCAAAAAAAACTTAAGTTTTACTTGAGCGAAAAAATTCACTTAAGTAAACAGGAAATTATACTTAAGTGTTTTTGAGAAACTCACTTAAGTAAAAAAATTTTAATTAAGTGAAATTTTTCACTTAAGTAAAACTTAAGTTGTTTTGAGAAACAGGCCCCAGATCGGTATGACAAAATCTCGTGGTATGTAGACGACGTGTCTGTATAATAAATCTCATTGTTCCACTTGATAACCTTTGTGAAGGTGTTGGTCTGGATGTGCGTATCATCTGGAAAGAGACAAAGGAACACTAAAACGAACAAAGAAAATGTTTCAATGTTTGCCTCATTGAGATGATAGGTAAATACAGCTTAGAAATATAGAAAGATTCTCTGTTATAAACAATAAAATGGGATCTGAAAAAGATTCATATAATTTATTTCAAATAATCAGAAATGATAAATAATAAACACATAAATTCTCACTCACTTTAAATGCTAGACAGAGCTAGGGATGTTTCCTTTTGTTAAAACAATGTTGCTGCTCAAGGATACAGAGCTGAATTCTTGAATTTCGTTTCGAAATTTAAAACTTAGTATCTCTGAAAAACTCGAAAAAAGTCTTTAGGGGTTATGCTGGAAAATGCTTCGCATCAATTAGTAACACAAAATTTCGTAAATTCGCTCTGTATCCCCGAAGCGGCCACATTTGTTCCAAGCACTCTGGCAATTAAACTGAGTGAGAGTTTTAGGAAACCTTAGACAAGGTTAAAAAAAAGATGAGTAGAAAAGTGTAAGAGATTAGCTAATGTACATAGATACAAACAAGGTTATGTACGGGTTATGTAATTCTAGATGAACTTTATTTTTCGATCGGTGATATGGAAAGTTTTCGATCTCACGATACGAGAAAAACATTCATAACTGGAGAAAAGGTGCCTTTCATATTTCGTCTATTATTTAGAAGATTCAGGTGAAATCTGGAGGATGTTTCATAAAAATTCTTAAGTTCTCGACTTAACTAAGTCTAGACTTAAGTCAAACTGAAGTCTTCGTTTTGTACACTTACGTGTTAATTTTACACACTTAAGTCTACTTAAGTTTAGACTTAGTTAAGTCGAGAACTTAAGAATTTTTATGAAACACCCCCGCTCTACAAAATATTGTATAAATATATCTTTCATTCGGAGCGTAACAGCATATGAAAGTTGAAATAGAGTTGGTTTTAGTAATTGTCTAGTTCTGTATTTGCTTATCGTCATCAATAAACGCATTGCACTGGCATAATATAATGTTTCAATGAAGTATTGTTAGCTGGCAACATCTAAAACTTGTCAGTTTTATTGGTAACTTTTAACCAATCACAAAAAAATTAAATATATTTTTGTAGTTAGTTAATATAATGGATAATTTGTTGATTATGTTAATTATAAAAAGTTTATTTCTGTCGGTTGTTCCTTCTCACTATTATCATATTGGAAAACATTTCCATTCCCACATACAACTAAGATGCATATACGGTTTTTCTTCTTGGTCACTAGGGCACGCAACTTACTGTAAATAAAATAAATTCTGTAAACTAGAAGCAAAGACAGATTCAAATAGAATCCTTTTCTCGCCAAGGATACTACTTTTACATAGTTTATCTTTCTCTCATTCTTTAAATTTCATTTCATTACCCTAGCCAAGAATAACACAAAAATGACGTTGAATCAACTAATCGTGGATGATGCATCAACAGCGAAACAAGTGTCAAGTCAAGAATGTAGTTATTTAGGAAGGTTTAATACAACAGGCTTTGGTTTGATTCGAGCTTATGAGGGGATACCAGAAAATTTAGTGGTTAATTTAATTGTATCAGCGGTACGTAAACAAGAAAGCATAGGCTTTTTACATTAGTATTTGTGTTTTTCTCTTAGATTTTGTTGCTTTTATTTGTTTATTTACGACGAAGATTTTCGGATTCAAAGCGGATCACTGATGGACATGAGTAAATACACTACGTGTTTTCTTCTTCACCAAAACACAAACTTTACATTCAGTTTGCTCTAATATATGTTTGCTTTTAGAATATCAGTTTTACTGTATGGTAAAAGTAATGCTGCTCGTCATACATTGCCACACGTAAGTAGAACCGTAGTGGTAGGTTTTGTTGTTTGCTGTTATAATTATCATGTTCGTTTTCCATAATCAAACAGTTAATTGCTTTTTTACGTTGCTTCCGTTTCAGTCAATTTCTAAAAAAATGCTACCAGTCTTGCAGAAACAACACACAGGAACCAATATGATTGAAAATAATTATGATGGATATTTCTCATCAAACCATGTTACACCTTTTTCTGTAGAAAATCACCGATCGGTCTGTTTTTTAAGGGGAATTTTCTTCTTTTATGCATGATGGTGTCACAGGGACGCACTACTTTTGCATGGATTCTTTTCTGGTAGATAAAAAAATAGATTCAACTAGGAACATTCAACTGCTTAATTAGGACCCAAATATCTGACGACTAATAAGTTTTATTGAAGAATCAAATCACTTAGAGTCATCTTTTTCACTAGAGTTCTGCAATGGGTACTCGTAATTCAGTTAGTCCACCAAAAACAGTTTTTATCAGAAGAGAATTAATTATTTCTCGGAAAACAGTTTTCTAGAGAAATGTTTCGAGAATCTTATGAGAAATCTCTGCTGTTAAGTGTGACTGGTTTATATGGAAGAGACTTGTACAGTCAATGATAGAGAAATGAGTCTAAACTATTATTGTAAAATGATAGTTCTGTCGTTCTGAGAGATACTTTTGGATTAGTCCATTGAATTTGCGAGTATCTTTTGTGAGACTGATTTTTTCACATCAATTGAATTGTCAACTTTTGTTTAATCAATATATTTATGCTTTTCGTATGCTTATTAAGAGTATTATTTCCATTATCTCTACTCTTTCTTTGCAGGAAACTTGTATGCATCGATATTTCGTGGTAAAGACAAGAAAAGCGATAAACACCAATCTTATTGTGTGCTTTTCGTGGCATTGCTTTAACATTAATAATTAATCAAGATACATTTAGATTTTTAACTGTTTTTTTTAATGTATGTGTTTGTTGATACACTTGGCTTTGCATGCTGTAGAACTAGCACTTATTTCTCTAACATTCAGCATCATATGGCTTACGCTGTTAGAATCAAAATATTAAATTTCTCTTCATAGTCCTAGAAATGAGATTGTGTTATCCAGAAGACAAACTTTCAATAGCACGAGATTGTGTCTAAGAGTGTTAATTAATTTTAGAGCAATGCGGTTCGATATGACAGCTTAATAATATTTTTCTACGTCTATAAATCCTCGACTAGTTACAAACGTTTTGAGTTTGAAATTTGATCTCTACTTGCACTGCTTTTTGTGTTGTGTATGAATAGTTTATGATGCACGCTTTCAGATGATGACTGTTTTTCTTTGCAAATTAAGTTTATTTCTCTTTTTTGTTTTGTTTAGACTCGATGGTATTGGGTACGCGATTTATTTCGAATTAGGTTGGTTATCTTTTTATTCTTTAATTTTTCTCAAGTAAAATGGTATCTTTGAATTCATTTTCTTTAGTGATGGAGATGTATATCGAAGCTGTAGTCCTGATGCCTATTATTATCTATTATTTCATACGTATTTAATTATTTATCTGTGTATAATTACAATATTCTCATTAGCCATTATTTTACCGGTCAATTTCCAAGGAACTATTGGTAAGCAGTTTAATCAAAGTACTATTAGGAAATCTTTGCTTGTTTTTTCTACAATTATTTTTTATTTTTGTCTATGAAATGTTATTTCTTTTGTTCTCCTTTATCTAGAACCAAATGAACAAAAATTTGCTCATACGACCATTGCCAATTTGCGAGCAGAGTATGCACAATAATAGGTTTTATTAGTTTGTTATTTTTGTATCTCTACACTTTAGTTCTAATTTGTTATGGATTCATGGTGTGGCATCAATTTTTTTTGTTTTGACTGGTATATTTGTGGCTTATTTATATACAAATGCAACGAGATATTATGCCAAAGAAGATCTGGTAAAAATTCATAAAGCAATGGTTCTTTAAAAAATTTAAATTGTTTCACCTTTTCTCTCTTACTCTTTGCCATTAGTATGAGGATGAAACATCGAAAGAAAAAGTTTGTCTTATAAATATATTAAATTGCTTGATGTACTAAGCTTAATGCAGTTCGGTGTTGTTTATCTTATTTAATTGACTGTGAGTAGTTTGATTTTTTTGTGTTGTTTGAAGAGCGAGGTATTTGATCTAAGTATTTATTGCGCTTCTTAAGAAAGTTAGTTAAATCAAAGTAGTGTTAATCTACTAAAATAAAAGTATCGCCAAGCTGTTTGTTTTTTATGTACGTCTCGTCGCAAAGTCCTATATGTGTGAACGAAAAAACAAATCGATCATCTTTTCGTTACGTGTTGCTTTCTGTTTAGTCGTTTATTCGCTATAATATCCTTTAAACTTTAAATCTTAAGTCATGTTTTTATCAACTTATTTTTTTTCAGGCTAGTCGTACGCTATTAATACGCGGTATTCCTCGAGAAGCATGTGATGAAGACAAACTAACAAATTATTTCAAGTATGTTGACTATCTGTGTATCGCCATAACTAGTTTTGAGAAATTTAGAAATTCATGTTTTCTGCTCTACTGAAGTGCAATGAAGATGATAATTGCCTTATCTCAAAGTCTATCTCTACAATTAATGAATAATACGACGATCTTTCATAATAAAAACAATTTTCTGTTGAATTAAATTACATGTTTTCATATTCCTTTAGAGAAGCTTATCCGTATTATCGAATAACTCATTTGACACTGGCTTATCATATTGCTCAACTTCAACATTTGTATAAACGAAGGTACACAAACAGAAAACGATCTAATTTTTATTAATAATAATAATTACATCTTTTTAGAGAATTTTATCATCGTGTGCTGGATGCAAGTAAAAAAATATATGAAACTACTGGTAGAAGACCTATTGTACACAATAGTAAATGTGGACAAATCTGCGTTCTGTCAGAATGTTGTGCAAAAGAGGTATGAGATATAGAGACATTTTCTTTATAGTGGATTAGAAACTGTTATTTTCTTGTTTAGATCGACGCACTTGAATATTATGAAAAGTTATATGATGACTTTAAAGAGAAATTAATTGATGAATATGAGCATGTACGAGAGAAAAAGATTGGTATCGCTTTTGTTTCATTTGATACAGCGCCACAGGCATTAACGTAAGTATGAATATAAAAAAATTTTCTTGATCGTTCAATGAACAAGTCGATTATGTTGAGGAGAGCTTGAACCATTACCGATATTTATGTATATGTTTTCTTTCTTTTTTAGAGTGTATTCGGATTTTCGTGCTACATGCTGTGCACGTGATCGTCGTCCGGAAACATCTTCAAGTAAAGCAATGAAAATACATGAATGGATTGTCAGCTATGCACCTAGTCCGAGAAATATAATATGGTATGTAATTCATTTTTTCTCTCTTTTTCGATTTGCAAGATTCAATACTCAGGTACAAAGAAATAAACACGATTACTTACATTTGATGCTAGAATAAAATAGCTCATTCTACTGAGTAATGTAATTTGATTATATTTTGTTTTTGTTTAGGAGAAATATACCATTAAGTGAAGTGTCACATTGGTTTCGTATAATTATCGTTAACATAATATTAATGTTTTTTATGATATTTTTAACAACACCGTCGATAGTTATGAGTACGATTGATAAAGTGGCAAATAAATATCGATCAATAGATCCGTTGAAAAGTGTGACAAAACAAGTATGCTTGAAAAATCTTTTATTTTTAATTTTACCAGTGCTATTTCTCCATCTAGATTCAATTTCCCGTATTTATTACATCAGTAATGCCTGTTCTACTGTTACGTATATTTGCATCGGCTATGCCTTCATTAGTTAGTGTGACATCATTATTAGAAAAACAATGGAAAAAGTAAAGCACTATTTTTTCCATGTGAAAAATGGAAGTTTTCTGTATACGCAAAAAAACTTACTTTTAATGTTTTTTATTCACTTTAGATCGGCGTTAGACAAATCAATGATGGTTAAATTATTCATATTTTTATGTATGATGATTCTAATACTGCCATCACTCGGTTTAACAAGGTTTGTCTCTTTTTTTTGTATCTACTTTTATTAATAATTTAACATGTTCACGTGTTTCTTTAGTATTGAAAGCTTTTTACGTTGGGTTTTTGAAACAGAAGGACCACCAGGAAAAGTTACAGAAAAATTTCGATGGATGTAAGTACAAAATAGGTAGAATTCGGAAAAGTTTGAAACAAACCTTCAGCGATGTCAAAGTATGATGGTGAAATTGTTTTACTTTCATCTATCTCCGTTCCGCAGATGTCACAACAATATGAGTAGAGAAAAAGGAGCAGCTAAGGTTTCTCAAAATTCTCATTCAGTTTAAATGTCGGAGAGTTTGGAATGGTTTCATTTCTAAAACTGTGAGTTTTTCAGAGATAGTAAGTTTTACTTAAATTTCGAAACGAAATGCAAGAATTCAGCTCTTTATCCTCAAAGTCGCAACTTTTTTTTGCGTAAAGGAGACATCCCAAGCTCTGTCTAGCATTTAAAGTGAGTGAGAATTTTAGGAAACTCCTGGAACAACAGCGAAGAAAATCGATTTTGAGATATGATGCTACTACTGTATGCTACATGTTTTAGGGCTCTTCGTAAAACTGTCATAGCTTCTGATCAAACCATCCTCAAAATTGGAAAATGTTAAATTTCAGGCGCACATATTTACTCTACAAACTAGCATCATTGAAATTGTTTTTGATTATTATTATTTTATGAACTTAGTCAAATGTTGTTTTACATGTTTTAGGTGTGTATTTCTTCCTGATAATGGCGCATTTTTTGTCAATTATATTATCACATCTGCATTCATCGGCGCAGCCATTGAATTGTTACGTTTAGCTGATCTTGTCTATTATTTATATATTATTGCAACGGCTAAATCAATAGCAGAAAGAAAAGTTATAAGACATGTATGTTCTTACTATTCTATTGAGAATGTTACCTGAACTGCTACGTTTGTTAATTTTAGGCATTACAATTCCCATTTCGTTTTGGTGTTCAGTACGCATGGACATCTGCAGTGTTTTGTGTAATTGTAGCGTATGCTATAAGTTGTCCACTAATAACACCAATCGGTAATAACACCAACTCTCATTTATTCTGTGTCATTTTTTTTATGATCCTTTAGGACTCATCTATATGTTAATTAAACGCGCTGTGGATAAATACAATTTGGTATTTGTTTATGATACTGAAATAGCTGATAAAAGTGTACATCGTTTAGCTGGAAATTTTATCATTATTGCTCTTATTATTCAACAATTAACACTTTTATTCTTTGTACTAGTGAGATCGGGTATGAGAACAAATAGAATGAAATAATTGAACTACGGGGTTATTATAACTTCAGTTATTAGCTGATATAACGTTTTGCGTTTTATTCATCTATTTTAGAAGGTTTGACTTATTTATCGATGACATTACTATCAAGCTTTATTTTAATCACCGGTGTTTACGTTGGCTTTTCATGTTTCGATTGTTGTCCGACATTAGCACGTGCAACACCTTCATTGTTCAGAGAGGTCAGCATTTATTTCCTATCGTAGTTTAGTCGCCGCAAGTGTAAAAAAAAAAGTCAATAAACAAAATTAAAAAGCAAAATAGATTGTTTTTTCAATTTCTTGTTTTTGGAAATGAAAAATATCCTTCTATACTCTATGTGAAAGAGTCTGTTAGCACATAAAAACATTTTAATTGTTGCAGGATGTATGATTTTAATGGAGATCATGGAATTTATTAGTTTTATGAGGATAGTGAAGCGGAATAGAGTTATCCGATTCTATGCAATATTTTCATAACCTTATTGATAGAGTTAAAATTCTTCTTGATATTTGACAACTTTTTCTGATTCTTGCTAGTCTCCCATATCATTTTTACATTTACCTTGGTAAGCTTTAAAGATGAGAAAAGCTTTTGCTTGCTTGATGGTGTGGACAATACATACGTATAGTAAGAATCCTTTATTTGACTTTTTTTGTTTATTTCGATATTTTTATTTGATCACATAAATTTGAATGAATAAATACCTTTCGATTGTTAATTATTATTATTCATTCATTTCAGTCACAACAACCGGCCGGTCTTCAACAATTGGACGAGGGGGGTGTTAGTGAATTAGCGAAAGCAGACCAAAAGCCATCAACATCGGTATGTTTTTGTAGCATCATCGTAAAGTATATGATGTTCGTTCATTAAAATAGTCCAGGAGATCGTATTACGGAAAACTTAAGTCATCGACTTAAGTCGTGATTTAAGTCTAGATTTAAGACCGACTTAAATCCGGGAACTTAAGCCGTATAACGAAAAGACTTAAGTTGATGATTTGTTTACTTTTTGAAAGTCGTTGAAATAGTAACGAACTTGGGACAAAAAACCCCAAAATAACGAAACAGTTATTTTCTAAACCTTAGAAAGTCGTTTTTGTCGAATAGTATCCTTATTTTTTAAAACTTGTTCTTGTTTATTAAAAAATAGTTGTATTTAACTTCAACAAACAAATGAAGCTATGCTTGCAGACAAGTCTATGTTGCATAGTGGATCAAAACGCTCAACCAAAAACCTAGCAGAATTACATTTTTTTTTTTAAACATGCTATTTGAGAAATTAAAAAAAATGGACTAATGTGCATGTCAGTGTGCAATCATATGAGATTAGAAGAAGTAGGGAAGGAGGAATAGTGTACGTTCCGGACTGGAGTGCAGAGAAATCAAGAAAAAATATGTTTATTAGTCATGCATAACAAACCGCTTTGTTTGAGCAACAAAGTTAATGACACCTTTGAATACGATTTTAATTTCTTCTGGTGACAAAGAATTTTGCAAAAATAGAGTTTTCAAGTCAAAATTCAAATGAGGCAGATCCAGCTGAAATATCGAGATTAGAGCTAATCGCGCGGTGTCATATAAGGGACATTCAAAAAAATAATGAAAAAGACTTTCGTCTGTTACATTGTCGCACGAGCAAAAAGGGTCAGAAACAAGACCGCGAAGATGCAGGTCCCCCCTCAACTGTGAAAATTCAACTCGACACCGACAATAATCAATGTCGGCGTGTCTATTGCTAGTATACGGTAACTTTGGAATTTCTCTCAGCGAGAATAAACTTTTCTTAAACTTTGGTATCCGAAATATCAGCCGTGTTTCCACTAATAATTCATTGTATTCTCTCGCTGTTCGATATATCATTGAGTCGTACAACATATTCAAACGACAACGTTGGAAGTAGCATCTTCTCGTGATTTCGTAGTGAGTATGAAAAAACAATAGGAGGATCTGGACGTGATGGCAGCAGAGTTTTTAAGAAAGGTGTTTTTCCCGTAACTATTTTTTGAAATAAAACTAACCTGTGTCGCTTAAAAACAACTCGCAACGGCTCCCATCCTAAATCTCTAAACACTCACGTCTTAGAACTGCATCATAGCGCCTGATACCGCTCTTGCAGCTTTGTATTGTGCTGACTCAAGTCGATCAAGGTTTCTATCAGATGTATTTCCATATATCGCTGACGCGTAAATGAACAAGTTTAAAACAAATGACTTGTACACTAGATCTAATGCCTGTCTAGATAATGCACGTGTATGAAGCTTTAGAAGACCGGTTAAACGACTTACTTTACTTAAAACATAATCTACGTGTGCTGTCCAGTCTAGATTTGACCTTAAAATTAAGCCTAACTGTTTTTGTTCAACAACATAAGAGACAGGCGACTTATTGATCAGGATGGGTGGTAGCGAAGCGAGAGTATCGCGTTCACGAGTATAATAGCATCCTTAAATGCCTGAGCTATCGAAAAATGCGCCAATGAATTAAGTCCGACTTAAATTTTCGGTCGTAACTTTACGACTACATTTCCCATGACTTAAGTCACCCTTAAGTTTCATGACTTAAGTTTTTTTGTAATATGGTAAAACTTAAGTCCAAAGACTTGAGTTAGTGACAGAGACTTAAGCCCAAACTTTGACCCAAGTTTTTTCGCGATACGACTCCCAGATTTGTTATTAATGCTTACTACGTTGGATGTGTTGATCGCGATATATAATGAATATTTTGTTTAGAATTATATTCCAAGTGTCTTAACTACCTTAATTGATGAATTCGAAGGTGATGGCAAAACTGCTAATCGTTCATCTGATCATCGTTATGGTTCAACTGATATTAGTGATCAACCAATTATTGTTGGAGCGGAAGATGAAAATGATCTATTAACCGCTTAATTCACGATCAATTAATCAACTTGTTGTTGTAATTGTTGTGAATGAATATTTTATTTTGTTGTGACTATTCTCTATATTCTTTATATATGTTGTTTATTTTTGTATGAGACGAAGCAAAAGGAGAGGCTCTGTTTTATTATCCATATGAGGTCTATTCATATCTTCTTCTTTGTATCGAGTACAACTAAAATTTAAAGCTGACACGGGCTACATATATATATTTTTTTAGTAAGAGTCCGTTTTTGAGAACGTAGTGTTTTCCGAGCGAATTATTGATAGAGCCTAAAATAATCTCAAAACAGCGATACTTTTAGTTTCAGCTTGTAGATCTTTGACTATTCTGAAATAGTTGTCGTATCACCAAAGACTTTTCTTCCAAAGTAAATGAGAATGAATTTTACTGTTATTTTAAATTCATTGTTGTATTTCACTGTGTTTAGACAGAAAGCATCTAAAACGATTTTTGTATCTGTTCGTGCAATAATATTTTTTCTTTTTCTTTCTGCATTATAATCATAAACGAGTGTAGTATTGAGAATTTCTTTTAAACTTCATGCTATAAAGCATTCATGTCGAAGTTGTGTTTTTGAAAAATTTTAAATGTTAGATCGAAAGGCAGTTTTGTGTCTTATATTTTGAAATATTATTCACATGTACTCATTTTCATGTTTATTTATCTATTTTTGTTGTTATTATATCTAAGCGACATTCACATATTGATATTTGACATAGTGCATGTATTCTCGATATTGTATTTTGACAAAAACAAAGTAAACAGAACTAATAGCTGATACTTCAACTGTAACGTGGTATGATCGTGATCTCACAGTAAATGAATTTTGTCTGGCTTTTTGGACACAAAAAAAACACATTTTGACAAGAATTTCACTAATTAACGAGAAAAATTCAGCCGAAGTCATACACAATTAAAAATATAGTAATTTGGGAATCACTTCTGGGTGGTTCGACGGGTAATGCAGAGTTGAAGAAGTCTCGTCTGAATGGTTTAAAGAATAACGCAACGAATACAGCTTGAGCTCTTGATGACATATTACGTAAAAAATTTTTTAAACATCGTTGCGAAACCTTCAATGACTTTTTCGTTTTAACATTTCAGATCTTCATACACCGTTTAAATCAAAGAAATTATCTACTGTTCACCTTCTACCTAAACTCTTTCAAACACTTATCTTTCCAACCATAGGTTGAGAAAATTTGTTGCTAAACTTATACAAACTGAGCTGAACTAAAGGGAAGCGCTCGCTTAAAAAATTTTAATTTTTTTCTTGATTATTAGATAAAATTCTGTTACAAAAAAGGAGAAAGTTAAAAAATACTAGAATAGATGACGCGTATAGATATATCAAGAGTTCTTTATCCTCTTCTGATTAGTCAATTCGCCATTTTCCGCCAGCGTTAACTGTCCATTAACTTAGCGGTAGTTGGATCATGCATCCAACTCGATCGCAAAAGAAAAATGAATAAATAACATAAGATCGTATTTCATGGAATTTAACAAACTCAAGTCAACAGTTAAGATTTTTTGTTGAAACATGAAGACTTAAATAAACTCGTAACTAAGTTTAAGTCGAGAGTTAACTATTTGAGTTTAAGAGCTGCTTAAAAATATTGATGCAACGATTTTCTCAGCGTTCACAAGCTTTAAATTGTAAAGAACAATTCCATCGATATGGTTGCAGTATGTCTATAACAATACCTGCTTCTCTCTGAATTTTTCAACAAAAACTAGCAGAAAAAATTTGTAAAATGATGTTTATATTTTGTTCGTATCTAGTCACTCATTTGATTCGTCGACTATTAAACCAGTAATATATGGAGATAATTAACAACTATTATTAATACAGGCGGCAAACAATATTTCCTTCATTGGCTTAGAAGTCTATAATTATAGCAGTGAAAATATAGTTCAAACATAATCAGATATGCTGCATATTTATGTCACTGACTGTTTGTTTTCTGCTACCGAATCGGCATATCAGAGTCAATTAAAAAAACGAACAGAAAATGAAATTCAAACGAGGATTTGTTTAGACTGCATGCAAGCAAACATTTTGATCAACAGATAATAAAAACTATTCCAACTAATTTTATTGTTACGTTTTGTGATTTACATTCACTGATTAGAGATTGAATTGGCAACAAACCACAAGACTTATTCACTATCTTGGAGAGCGATCTTTCTTGCTAATTAAAAACAAAGTTTTGTACATCCTGCTTCGACTTTTCATCAGAAACGCTGAATGTCGTTCACTTAAATACTTGTCCGCTAACTGGAAAAAAACACTCATTTGCGAAATCACTCAGTTTTTTTAAAAGGAAGGTTGTTCGAAAATCAAATCTTATGTCAGCGTATACTTCAACTTAGTTTTCCTGTGAAATTTATGACAAGACAATCCAGAAACTCTATGTTTTCTTAACATTTCTCTGTAAAGGACAGACAGAATACCGTTTCTATAAATTCTATGGTCGACGTGTGCAGTTTTAGCAGCGGTATTGCTAAGAATCTTTGTTTGTTTTTTAGATCTGTAATAATGTCTATTGATGTTGAGAAGATCCCGTTGTCGAAACGTAGATTTTACGTTGATAAAGATTTTCAATTATTCAGTAATGGGAAACAATCAAAAGCTGAAAAAGCAAAAATTTTGAAAAAAGAACTATTACCCGAATATCAATTATCTGTACATATGCAAGAAAATTTAGATGAACAATCGCATGGAAAATTATGGAAATTATTGCGTGATTGTGATGCACAAGAAGTTCTAAATGAAAGAACATCCTTACTAATCAGAGGGCTTGAAAATGCGTATTATAGAACTCAAAAGCCATTGTCTGTACCGGATATTTCAAAACGATTGTCACCAGGTAAAAGTTATCAATGTTTTTCTCTCTTAAAATGTTAATAATTTATCTTTCTGAAGGTACTCCTGTGTGGTTATATTTTAAAACGACATGTGATGTTAAACCGGATCTAAAATCAGCAGAAATAATTAGTTATGAACAAAAAGAACGTCTTCGATATGGTTATCGGCAACAGCAACAATTACAATCAAAATCCAATTTAGTTGCCCATAATACAGACAATTGTACACAGACAATGCAAGAACAACTCACATCTCTTACGGCTAAATCGCCACACACATCAAATTGTTTATTACTTTCAATGGGAACATTTCACGATGCCGGAACATACAATTGCCATTATCAGTCAGAAGAAGGTATACATGTCGTGACGGTTGTTTTTTTTCACAAGAAGAAAAATGACGTGATGAGAATGATCCGGCGAAGAAAACTTTAGTGGGAAGGCGAGCGTGTTTTTGTGATATTCGTGTTTTCCAAAATTGATTTGTATAGATGAAATGTTATATTTACCTTCCTTGTTTAAGGTCTTGATTCATATGAAATTGAATTTCGTCAAACTCCACAATCAATCATAATTCGCAGTCGTCCATGTTCAGATTATTCACCACAAGATGATCAACTGTATAATAAACATTTGTATTCGACAGTAATTTCACATGAAACCATTGAACCTTATATAGTTCTCGTTTATAAAGATGTTCAAAAATATATTGACCTCTATTTTCCATTAATTTATGCCATTAAATCTGTCGTCGAAGTAACGATCGGTAGGTGAATAACAATCATAAATTGAAACAGTAACATATAATAAGTTGAATAAGCACTACTGACGAGAGTAGCCTGAGCGTTAAAAGGATAATTATCAGTTGAATAATTTACCAATATCAGACCATTTCTGAAAATAGAAATTTGAAATAAACAAACTGAATCTATTTCTAGATGATGTTAATGGACAAACAATTAAACGAACACGTTCAAATCGATTTCATCGTTTTTCAACAAAAGTTATCTCTCAGACTTCAGTGTTACATGTTCGATTACCAATGTATAATTACTCAATTAAAATGATTAATGATTTATCATCAACGCTAGCTGAAAATGGTATCAAATTAGTTTACGGAAATATAAAAATAGAATATTTTAGTCCCACCTATGTATCACCGTATGAACATATTCAGTTTAGTTCTTATATTGCCAATTATGCTTGGGATATGTTATTGTCATTAGGTAAGACTTTTTGTTACTAACCCATTGGAACTTTTGGAAATAATTAGAAATTAATGCGAACTAATTTAAAAAAGTTTCATATTAAATTAGTGCACATTCAGTTTTTTCTGATTAAAAATCAATTTAAATT